CTACTAATGCAGCCAAGCACTTTATTGAATGCCATGGTGGTGATGTTACTAGAGTACAAATTCAAGAATTAGAAGGGGTTAAAATCCCAAAGAGAAGGGGTGATGTTTTTTGGCTGCTGTGCAAAACTGAGGTATTTTGGATCTTTAGTTAGGAGGACTGGGGGTCTTAATTTAGAATGAGATGTTCCTCCCTTTTTGCAAACAGCCAAATCATGAAGAGAACCCTTTATATAATGTGTTTATTTATGTTTGGGGCTACATTTCTGCAAATGGAATTGGAGATCAGTGGTGTCCTCAATGCTGAGAAATGCAGGCAGATAGTTCTCAGCCCCAAATTTGTTCTGCAGCAGGACAACCCCAAACATACAGCCAGTGTCCTTAGGAACTATCTTAAGTGTAAAGAAGAACAAGGAGCCCTGGAAGTGATGGCTTGGCCCTCACAGAGCCCTGATCTCAACATCATAGAGTCTGTCTGGGATTACATGAAGAGACAGAAATTGCCTACATCCACAGAAGATCCGTGGTTGGTTCTCCAAGCTGTTTGGAACAATCTACCTGCTAGGTTGAAAATCCCAATAGATCAGCAGTTTTTGAAATACTCAGACCAGCCCGTCCTGCACCAACAACCATGTCACATTGAAAGGTCACTTAAATCCCATTTCTTCCCCCATTCTGATGCTTGGTTTGGACTTTAGCAAGTCATCTTCACCACATATAGGTGCCTGAATGCATTGTGATTGGCTGATTAGCAATTTGTGTTACAAAGCAATTGAACCTAATAAAGTGGACGGTGTGTGTGTGTGTATATATATATATATGTTACTCATTCTTGTATTTTCTAGGCTTAAAGTAGAACTATAGGCAAATTTTGTTTTGTTTTTTCATTTTCGATAGAGTAAGGAAGGGTTTATAACCCCTGTCAGGTTTTTTTTTTCACCATCTTTCTCCCATTACAAAGATTTATCTTCACTTCCTGTCCCAAAGCCAAACAGGAAGTGAAAGGAAATCCCTGCAAATTTAGGGAATTCCTTGAGGGCCCCAGGTCATCCGAACTAGTTTCCCCATTTCAGAGGTCAATCCAAAATTTGGAATTTTCTTTTACTTTCAATGATAATGATGAACAGGACAAATAGAGAGGGTGAATCTCCTTAACCGGGCCACAGACAGCAGTAAAAATCGACAAGCTTTCTAATCCCTCTCCACTCTATCCAAAACTGAAAAAAAAAGTTTTGCCTTTAGTTATACTTTAACCACTTTCCGTCAGGCTGTTGTATGTAAACGGCCAGACGGTGGCAGTGCAGGGGCAGGTGGCTGTTTTTATAAACGGCCTCCCCGCCCCCTGCTTGTGTGCGCTCCCTGAGAGCGTGCAGCACCGCGATCCAGTGCCCGCTGTGTCCTCTGACACAGTGGAACACCGATCGTCGGACGGGACCTCTGTGCGAGGTCCTCTGTGTGATCATGTGATCACTGATTGGCCAAAATGTAAAAACATTTTTTTTTTAATTTATAATTTTTAGTTATAAATTAATTTGGGTTATTTTCTTTTTACTAAAAAGATAACTGAATACATTTTGGCCAAGATTTATGATGAAATAATATGAAATATTTGCGCCATAGTCGCTCCAGCGCACGACTGCGTTGTTTGAGATTTTTGGTATGGTCAGTCTGCCAGGGTTGTAGCGGTGGGGGTCTAATGCTTAGTGTAGTTGGGAGTGCTAGCGAGTCTAGAGCGCCTGATAGCGAGTTGTTATAAACAGTAGTGGTCAGGGCAGGACAGGGGAAGGATACGGTCGTAAAGTTGGTCAGCTGCAGAGTGGAAAGGGGCAGGGTTCAAGTTGCAGAGGTTTCTGCTAGTGGTAGTTTGACGTTTGGAGGGATAGGTGTTTGAGGACGAGGAGACGGAGGCGGTAATGAGATTGTGATCGGAGAGAGGAAAGGGGGTGTTTGTGAGGTCATGGGGATTGCAAAGATGAGAGAAAACAAGGTCCAGGGTGTTCCCGTCAGAGTGTGTGGTGGACTGTATACACTGTGTGAGTGCAAAAGAAGAGGTTAAGTGGAGGAGTTGGGATGTAGCCGGCTTATTGATGTTGATAGGGATATTGAGAGGGAAGTTGAAATACCTGTAACCACTGGGCCTCACAACTAACTGGTGCCGGAGTTCTCATTTATGGCATAGGACAAGCAGAAGTACAATTAGCAGGTCCGCCACTGGTGCTCTGTGCTTTTCACAGATGTGAGCAGGTTCACCCTAAGCACATGTGACAGACTTGAAAGGGTCTGGAGAAGCCATGGAGAATGTTATGATGCTTGTAACATCGTTCAGCATGACTGTTTTGGTGGTGGGTCAGTGATGGTCTCGGGGGGCATATCCATGGAGGGACGCACAGACCTCTACAGGCTAGACAATAGAACCCTGACTGCCATTAGTTATTGGGATGAAATCATTAGACCCATTGTCAGACCCTATGCTGGTGCAGTGGGTCATGGGTTCCTCCTGGTACATGACAATGCCCGGTCTCATGTGGGGAGAGTATGCAGGCAGTTCCTGGAGGATTAAGGAATTGATAACATTGAATGGCCCCCATGCTGTCCTGACCTAAATCCAATAGAATACCTTTGGGATATCATGTTTCGGTCCATCCGATGCCGCCAGGTTGCACTTCAGACTGTCCAGGAGCTCAGTGATGCCCTGGTTTAGATCTGGAAGGAAATACCCCAGGACAACATCTGTTATCTCATTAAGAGCATGCCCTAACGTTGTCAGACTGCATACAATTCCATGGGGGCCATAGAAACTACTGAGTACCATTTTGAGTTGCAATGAAATTTCAGCAAAATGGACTTACCCTGCTGCATCATTTTTTCACTTTGATTTTCAGGGTATCTTTGAATTCAGTCCTCTGTAGGTTGATAATTTAATTTCCATCAAACAATGGGGCATCATTACGTTCTGAACACATTACCCAGTCCATATCAGTATAGATATCCAGCATGATATTTTTCCCCATTGAGATCTGATGTGTTTTCAAAATGTTCCTTTAATTTTTTTGAGCAGTGTGTGTGTATGTGTGTGTGTGTGTGTGTATATATATATATATATATATATATATATATATATATATACACACACACACACACAAGGGGTGTTCAAAAAGTTTATGCACTTTTATACATATAGTGGTAAGCCACGTAAAATGACAAGAGGGGGGTCAGTGCATGCTGAAGCACACAGTGCGCAGGAGTTGCCAACTGTCTGCAGAGTCAATAGCTAAAGACCTCCAAACTTTGTGTGGCCTTCATATTAGCACAACAGCAGTGCGTAGAGAGCTTCATGGAATGGGTTTCCATAGCCAAGCAGCTGCATCCAAGCCTTATATCATCAAGTGCAATGCAAAGCGTAGGATGCAGTGGTGTAAAGCATGCCACCACTGGACTCTAGAGGTGTGTTCTCTGGAGAGATGAATCACGCTTCTCTGGCAATCCAATAGACATGTCTGGGTTTGGCATTTGCCAGGAGAATGGTACTTGTCTGACTGCATTGTGCCAAGTGTAAAGTTTGGTGGAGGGGGGAATATGGTTTAGGGTTGTTTTTCAGGGGTTGGGCTTGGACCTTTAGTTCCAGTGAAGGGAACTCTTAATTCGTCAGAATACCAAGATATTTTGGACAATTTCATGCTCCCGACTTTGTGGGAACAGTTTGGGGATGGCATGCACAGAGTCCTGACCTCAACCCGACAGAACACCTTTGGGATGAATTAGAACAGAGACTGCAAGCCAAGCCTTCTCGTCCGACATCAGTGCCCGACCTCACAAATGCACTTCTGGAAGAATGGTCAAACATTGTGGACGGCCTTCCCTGGAGAGTCAAAGCTGTTATAACTGCAAAGGGTGGGCCAACTCACTATTGAACACTACGGACTAAGACTGGGATTTCATTACATTTTACATGTGTGTAAAGGCAGGTATCATACTTTTGGAAATATAGTGTATATTTAAAAAAAAAAAAAAAGTACAGAAACTTTTTGAAGAACCCTGATATATGGCCCCAGATGATATGGCACCATCCAGGATGGGGTGTGTCTGTTATCCAGTTGGTTGCTCATATCAGATACATTGGCTCCCTTGCAATTAGGTTGTGTAGCAGTAAGCAAGAATATTTTAGCTCACACCTGATTAACCACTTAAGGACCAGGCCTTTTCTGGCACCTTTTGTTTACATGTAACAATCTTTTTTTTTTTTTTTTTGCTAGAAAATTTCTTAGAACCCTCAAACATATATTTTAAAGCAGAGGCTCTAGAGAATAAATTGGTGGGTTTTGCAATTTTGTATATCACATGGTACTTGTGCAGTGGTTTTTCAAGTGCAATTTTGTGGGAAACAACACACTGCAGTGTCCATTTCAAATTACCGTATGTTTTGCTCCATAAGACGCAACTAGGTTTTAGAGGAGGAAAACAAGAAAAAAAATATTCTGAACCAATGGACTGCAGACATAGTACAGAAAATGACCAGAGACTGCAGATACAGTACAGGAAATGACCAGAGACTGCGGGCATAGTACATGAGATGATCAGACTGCGGACACAGTACAGGAGATGACCAGAGACTGCGGACACAGTACAGGAGATGACCAGAGACTGCGGACACAGTACAGGAGATGACCAGAGACTGCGGACACAGTACAGGAGATGACCAGAGACTGCAGACACAGTACAAGAGATGACCAGAGACTGCGGACACAGTACAGGAGATGACCAGAGACTGCGGACATAGTACAGGAGATGACCAGAGACTGCGGACATAATACAGGAGATGACCAGAGAGACTGCGGACACAGTACAGGAGATGACCAGAGAGACTGCGGACACACAGAGACTGCTGACAGTACAGGAGATGACCAGAGACTGCTGACACAGTACAGGAGATGACCAGAGACTGCGGACACTGTACAGGAGATGACCAGAGACTGCGGACATACACAGTACAGGAGATGACCAGAGACTGCGGACACAGTACAGGAGATGACCAGAGACTGCGGACACAGTACAGGAGATGACCAGACTGACTGCCAGAGACACACAGTACAGGAGATGACCAGAGACTGCGGACACAGTACAGGAGATGACCAGAGACTGCGGACATAATACAGGAGATGACAGAGACTGCTGACACAGGGAGATGACCAGAGACTGCGGACACAGTACAGGAGATGACCAAGACTGCGGACACAGTAGAGATGACCAGAGACTGCGGACACAGTACAGGAGATGACCAGAGACTGCTGACACAGTACAGGAGATGACCAGAGACTGCGGACACAGTACAGGAGATGACCAGAGACTGCGGACACAGTACAGGAGATGACCAGAGACTGCGGACACAGTACAGGAGATGACCAGAGACTGCGGGCACAGTACAGGAGATGACCAGAGACTGCGGACACAGTACAGGAGATGACAGACAGCAGGAGATGACCAAGAGACTGCGGACACAGTACAGGAGATGACCAGAGACTGCGGACACAGTACAGGAGAGGACCAGAGACTGCGGACACAGTACAGGAGAGACCAGAGACTGCGGACACAGTACAGGAGATGACCAGAGACTGCGGACATACTACAGGAGATGAGCAGAGACTGCGGACACAGTACAGGAGATGACCAGAGACTGTGCACATAGTACAGGAAATGACCAGAGACTGCGGACCTTTGGGGAGCCGAGGGGGGTGAGTGGGTACTCAAATTTGACAGATACCCGCTCCCACCTCTGTGGAGTTGTCCTTCCCCCTCCCTCCCCGTAGTCTTCTGGGACACGTGACAGGTCCCAGAAGACTACAGGGCCATTCACAAAGCGCAGCGCTTCTCATGCCTGCGTAGTGGGTACCTGGCCGTGAAGCCGCAAGCTGTCACAGCCAGGTGCGCACACTAAAGATGTCGGCGCCGGGGAGAGAAGACGGTGAGGACACCGCTGGACCGAGGAACAGGTAGCACCCCTGGAGGTCTGCAGGTTCTGCTGCACAGAAAAGCCGAGCGGCCTGCCTGGTATTCTAACATGGCAGCGGCGATGACAGGGGGAATACCGGACCAGCCGCTCCATATTTGGGGGGAAAAAAAGTGCGTCTTATGGAGCGATAAATACGGTACCCCTGCAAAGGTGGACCTTTGATACTTTTTGCTCTACAGGTAAATTAAAGTGGGCGAACAGCCCTAAAACGAGATCTGGTGTGCAGACTGGCTGCTTTCAGCCTCGTTCAAACCACGGTGCAGAGAAACTGATGGAAACTGACATGCAAATTTCACTTGCAGAGACATCATCAGTTTTCATACGCACTTTAATGAGTTTTATACATGTTGCAAATTCCTGCTCAGAAAAAATCTGCACAAGATACTAGTGTTGTGGTGTGAACAGGGCACATAGAGAAAAATTGATTTTGTTGTGCCCCTGCAGAACGCATGCAGGAAAAACTGATGTCTCTGCACCATTGTGTGAATGGGCTCTCAAGCTCTCTGTTATAATACTAATCTCTACAATATATTGCATGTATACATCACATTCTACGTTTTCTGACTTTCATTTTCTGGAATATATTTCCACCTCATTTTATATGTAGTTTGTGTATAGCTAATAGGTTGTGTATGTGTAACAGCATGTGGGGAAAAATATTTTCAATTTAACAATTTAGAAGTCATCGTTTTTATATAATTGTTGACTTAGTTTTCCATTACAGAAAAGTTGCATAAATTAGTATATTTAAACAGAATTGTAAGACTGGTTGTTTTACTTACTTTTTATTTTGGGTTTAGTAAGAGCTGAACTTTTTTTACATTTGCTCTGTAAAAGTACACCGTATTGATGCCTTTCCCATGTGTGGCTGCTCCTGTGTTCTGGAAAGCTTTTTATTCCTCCTCTACAGTACTGCAATTGCCAAACACCCAGTGCTAAAACCTACAGTTCCAGCTTTAGTACAGCTCTGATAGTGAGTCACTCACTCTCCACCTTGTCCATTCAAAAACATAGCTTGGATTCCTTTTACTGAACACAAGGCATTCTGTGAATGGAGATGAGGAGGATGTAGGTCTCAATCTCCCCTCATCTAATCCCAAAACACCTTACATTATGTGACAAGAAGAATACAAGATTTTTTAAATGAATTAATAAGGTAGAGAGCGAGTGACCCACTATCAGAGCTGTACTAAAAACCAGAACTGTAAGTTTCACTTAATTCCTGAGTTCTTAAATCTTGTGTTAGGATTACAAGAGGGACTCCCCCTTAAGAACACCTTATGCCAGGTATTTTTCCACTTACATTCTCGTGTAGCAGGAATGCAGGTTCAGACTAAATGCAGTTAAGTCTTTATTACAAACTTGAAGTAAGAAGGTAGGACAGGAGGAGCTGAAATTATTATTATACAGGATTTATATAGCGCCAACAGTTTGCTCAGCACTTTACATTATGGAGGGAGACAGTACAGTAACAATACAGTTCAATACAAGAGGGATTAGAGGGCCCTGCTCCATGGAGCTTACAATCTAGGAGATAACCAAAACACTCAGAGATTTCTACTCAGCTAGCAGTCTCTGACTGGATGTCAGCATACAGGAACCTTACACAAGTTCCTCTGAAGTATAGCCATAAAATGGGAGATTTGAGTCTTCTCCTTTCCAGCCTGGCAGGCTCCCTTAGACCCATATGGTCTTCAGGCACACAGCCTGCTTACACAGAGGGGCGATACCCTTTGGGCCCCAGCTCCAGCCCAGGGGCCTCTATCCAGGCATACAGCCAACTTTCAGGGGGCCTCTCCCAACAGAGCCTCTCTTTGTGGAAGGAGCAGACTGACAAAAGCCAGAGCATTGCATTCCTGTTTTGTCAAAGCTAGGCCCAACCCACTGATGATAAACTCACCAGCGATTGTCCAGCTAACAAAACAGGACTGTCTGTACTCACCCCCAACACAGGACAGCATTTCAGCAGAGCCTGATAAATGATGCAACACAAACTATACCTAAATGCAATTCTCTGCAAGAATGCTAACTTATGTAAAACGGTGGGGATGGGGGGCGGGGGTCTTTTAGGGAAACACATGTGTGATAACCACAAGCTATCCCCGCTTCAGTCTATCCTGAATACTGCGGCCAGACTCATCCACCTTACTACCCGCTCCGTATCCGCCAACGCCCTCTGCCAATCCCTCCACTGGCTTCCGATTGTCCAAAAATAAAATTCAAAATGCTAACATTGACGTACAAAGCTGTTCATAATACTGCCCCAAACTACATCACCGATCTGGTATCCAAATACCACCCAAAACGTACTCTCCACTCCTCACAAGACCTCCTACTCTCTAGCTCCCTGGTCTCCTCCCATGCCCGTCTCGAGGACTTCTCCAGGGCTTCCCCCATCCTCTGGAACTCCCTACCCCAAATCCATCAGACTATCGCCTACTCTCCTCTCATTTGGTGCACCCTGAAAACCTACCTCTTCAGGGAAGCCTACCCGCCCTCAGCTAATTGCCGATCTCCTCCACTCTTCCTACCACTCCATCCCCCACAGCTATTTCCAACTGTACCACCCTCCTAGATTGTAAGCTCCAAGGAGCAGGGCCCTCAAACCCCTCGTCTATTGAATTGTATTGTTACTGTACTGTTCCATGTACTGTCTCCCATTATAATGTACAGCGCTGAGCAGACTGTTGGCGCTATGCAAAGTCCAGTATAATAATAATAATAATGTGTGTTGTGAGAATTCTCTATCTTCTCAGCCCTGGCTTCACCAAAGATGTCCAACAAGACCAATCACTCTTTCCTCTGGAATATCGGGGGTGTCTCAAAATAATCTATTGATGGTTTTACTGTAGTTTTCATATTTTACTTCATATACTGTCAATTTCAAACATCGTTACTTATTTTTTTCTTTTATTTGAAAAAAAATGTACGGGCCCAAATAAAGTGAAATAAATTTGAATCCAACTTGTATAGCGATATAGAGTTCTGTGTATACAGACAAAAGATCTAGGAATTTTTTTTTGTTTTTTTTTGTTTTTTTTTTTTTTTAGATATCGGTGGTTAGGATGTCTGTTTCATGTGGCTCTCTACAAATATTTAAATGTTTTTACTTTTGTTCTTTCACAGTGCCTCACAGCCAAAGCCTTACTGATGGAAGTATCTATGCCAGACTAGGAAAGAAAACACTACCAGATGGATCTCTTTCTGCAGTGTCTCATCATGGGGTTCCATTGAAGAGCAACCTTGATAACCTTGACCCCCATTTGTCTGGCAGCGATTCTGGCCATTCTACAGATTCCATTAGAACAAAAACTGTGCAAAATATTACATCCCAAATCAAGCGAGATCTGAGTTCAAAAGAAAAGGCTGAACTTGATCAGTTATTAGGTGGTTTTGGAGTGTATACACCTTCATGCTCACAAGAGGATATGACTGATGTGCAAAACAAGTATAGCAGAACGAACAATGCTGTCCCAATCCACATTCACAGAAATGGAAACATGAAGCTTAGCGAAAGAGAAACTGATATTTTAGATGACGAAATGCCAAATCATGATTTGCATAGTGTTGACAGCATAGGCACTTTGTCATCCTCTGAAGGGCAACAGTCTAACAACCTTTTATCCTTGCATTTGAGCAGCCATAAAAGTAGTCAAAATTCATTGCTTTCTGACAGTTGTTACAGTAACACTGCAGATGAACGTAACTATAACATCACACCTGACCTGGGAATTAACATTGATCAAATGTATGAAAGGCCATATAATATCAGAGAACCTAAGCAAACTCAACAAACAGCATCTCGGTACCTCCTGATATACAAAGCAACTATTCTACTCAAACTTGGGTGCATCAACAAATGATCAGCTCTCATCAATACTGTTATGCCCCTGGTAATGAAAGTCGTTTTGGTATATCTCACACATTAGATTCATCTTCCAATATGCCCAAAACATCAATACCTCCTCCTATATGTAATACTAGATTTGGCAACAGAGATCTTGTGCAGATGAGCACCTCAAAGTCTACACAAGATGATGGACCTGGAACTTTCCATAATTTACTATTGGCACCAAAATCATCAGATTGGATAGAAGAAAAGAATGAAGACATGCCTTCCTCTCCAACACTGGATATTGACCAGTCAATTGATCAACTTAATAAGTTAATCCTAGAGTTGGATCCAACTTTTGAGCTAGCACCAGTTCAAATGGTTTCTAATACTGCAGGTGTAAGCAAACTTGCTTCCAGTTATAGTCTCCTTTCTTCACCTTTAGATGCAGAGAAGAAAAGAAAATTCTTTCAAGGAGGTAAGAACTGTATTTCATATTTTCATTTTACTAAAAATATATGAAAAACAAGAATGATGTTATAAATTCAACATTAATAAGCTGTGTTCATGAAAAAAAAAAATAATTTGTGTCCAGTCTGCCAAGGTCGGTTTTGTGATTTGTTCATCATTTCAAAGACCATATATTTTTGGATGCCTGTTCCAGTATATTATAGCGCGGGTCTATTTACTCATATATGTACTATTGAAGATTGAATAGATTTATTGTACCTAACCGTGTACCTTGGCATCTGTGTACTGAAAGAACCCAATAAAAGAAAAGAAAAAAAACAAGCATTATATCACTGCAATATATGCACGTTTCCCAATGGTTTTCTCTGCTTAAAAAATACTGCGCCTACAGAAAAATAATTATTGGCCCTGCCATAACTCCAGTGAGCTTGTAACTTTCTGTAATAAGCTGACAATGCTGTGTCTGCTGCACCTATTATCCTAAGCAGTGCTGTCATCCCTGTGTGAGGTCTCCTCAGCTTGACTGCAGAACACCTCCCAATGAACCATTTACAGTATGTGATAGCAGGAGAATAAACAGTGAGGGGCTACAGAGATTGAGAGGTATTGGCAGCTATCGACAAAAAGTTAGGAGTTCACTGCGTTTCTGCCAGGATCAAAAGGTATTTTTCTGTACTTGTAGTGTTTTTTAAAACAAAACATGGGGAAATGTGCACTGCAGAGGTGTGTATTTTTATGCCAAATATACTTTTCAAAAGTTGGGACCTGTAGCAATGGAAGCAGTTGAAATGTTTCTTCGCAGATTAACAGCAGAAAAATTTACTTCTTAGAACATAACAGAACAAGTGATTTTATCTGCAGAGAAGTAAGAAATTAAAAGAGGGCTGTATCTGTCCATAGGCCCAAGCTTGGCTCCCTCTGAGGACAGAAGATCTGCAAGACAAATAAGAACTTGATTACAAAAAACATGTATGAAATATTTTATTGTTTAATTTCATTAAGGCAGCTGTTCCCAAGCTGTGGTATGCCTATCCTAAGGGGTGCACACCAGTACACTGCTGGAGTCTCACTCCTTCTACCCGAACACTTTCTACTCACGCCAACGGAAGGGAAAATGCAGGAATATGGCTGAGGGATTTACAATGATAAGCAAACAATCTGCTCCACCACCAAGGCTAAAGACCTGTTGTGAAAACATTCGCTGGAAGTGCCTGGCAGATCAGTCACTTAGACACAATGCAGTGGAATGACTCTGATGTGTTATCATGACTGTGGTTTTGTTTTTGTTTGGTTTTGTTGAGGTCCTTATCAGTGATAGGTGACTCCTACTATACTCCTAGTTATCAGGAAACACATTGTTGCCTTTATGGTAATGTACAGGGGACCAGTTATGTAGCACTCTACTCTCCATCCGTGGACCCACAGCAGTACAGTGATCATGACCTATTGTTTAAAACCCTCCTACTTTTACAGTAAGTACAGTTGGGTTAAACCACAATTTGGTGTCTCTCCCTATTGAGGGGTGGAATTTATGAAAATGACCTACCAGACAATATACAAATGAGAAAAAAATTGTTTTGAACCGTTGCATTAGGAGAACAAAGAAGATAACATTATTCAGAGAACGCTAGATATACAGGTGAAACTCAAAAAATTTGAATATCGTGCAAAAGTTAATTTATTTCCGTAATGCAACTTAAAAGGTGAAACGGAGATAGACTCATTACATGCAAAGCAAGATAGTTCAAGCTGTGATTTGTCATCATTGTGATGATTATGGCTTACAGCTCATGAAAACCCCAAATCCACAATCTCAGAATATTACATGCAATCAATAAAACAAGGATTGTACATAGAACAATATTGGACCTCTGAAAAGTATAAGCATGCATTACTTTGTTTGGGCCCCTTTTGCAGCTATTACTGCCTCAGTGTGGCGTGGCATGGAAGCTATCAGCCTGTGGCACTGCTGAGGTGTTATGGAAGACCAGGATGCTTCAATAGCAGCCTTCAGCTCTTCTGCATTGTTCGGTCTCATGTCTCTCATCTTTCTCTTGGCAATGCCCCATAGATTCTCTATGGGGTTCAGGTCAGGCGAGTTTGCTGGCCAATCAAGCACAGTCACCCCACGGTCATTGAACCAGGTTTTGGTGCTTTTGGCAGTGTGGGCAGGTGCCAAGTCCTGCTGGAAAATGAAGTCAGCATCCCCATAAAGCTCGTCTGCGGAAGGAAGCATGAAGTGCTCCAAAATCTCCTGGTAGACGGCTGCATTGACACAGTGGACCAACACCAGCAGATGACATGGCTCCCCAAATCAACACAGACTGTGGAAACTTCACACTGGACTTCAAGCATCTTGCAGTGTGTGCCTCTCCATTCTTCCTCCATACTTGGGGTCCTTGTGCCTCTCCATTCTTCCTCCATACTCTGGGTCCTTGGTTTCCAAATGAGATGCAAAAGTTGCTGTCATCAGAAAAGAGGACTTTGGACCACTGAGCAAAAGACCAGGTCTGTTTTTCTTTAGCCCAGGTAAGACGCTTCTGACGTTGTTTGTTGTTCAGGAGCGGATTGACAAGAGGAATACAACATTTGAAGCCCATGTCCAGGATCTGTCTGTGTGTGGTGGCTCTTGATGCACTGACTCCAGCCTCAGTCCACTCCTTGTGAAAGTCCCCAACACTTTTGAATGGCCTTTTCCTGACAATCCTCTCCAGGCTGCGGTCATCCCTGCTGCTTGTGCACCTTTTTCTTCCACACTTTTCTCTTCCACATAACTTTCTATTAATGTGCTTTGATACAGCACTTTGGGAACATCCAACTTCTTTTGCAATTACCTTTTGAGGCTTTCCCTCGTTATGGAGGGTGTCAATGATGGTTTTCTGCACAACTGTCAGGTCAGCAGTCTTTCCCATGATTGTGATTCCTACTGAACCAGACTGAGAGACTATTTAAAGGCTCAGGAACCCTTTGCAGGTTTATGGCTTAATTATCTGATTAGAGTGGGACACTTTGAGCCGAGAATATTGCACCTTTTCACAATATTCTAATTTGCTGAGATTGTGGATTTGGGGTTTTCATGAGCTGTAAGCCATAATCATCACAATTATGACAAATCACGGCTTGAACTATCTTACTTTGCATGTAATGAGTCTATCTCATATATTAGTTTCACCTTTTAAGTTGCATCATTACTGAAATAAATGAACTTTTGCACGATATTCTAATTTTTTGAGTTTCACCTGTAGCAAGAGTTCTATGAATGTTTCCAGCCTTTGGGGACCTATATCATAGTTGTCTTTTTCCTCGTAAAATAACGGGTATACATTTGACCACATTTTCAGCATTTTAAAGGACTATAATCATCACGCACACCCATAGCTATTATGGGGCTTGATTTAGGAGCAGTGTTGTCCGTGAACAAATTCAAGGATCTTCAAGTGGTTACTAATCCTCTGCAGGCCCCCGTAACATATTGACACAAGTAAAATATTAGAACGGTTCTCTAATGTCTGAAAATCATGGGTAAAAATGTGTTTGTAATACAAATCACTGCTGTCTAACTGGGTGGCCCACATATGGACCTCCACCTGTCTCCCAGCTGCAGAGAGAAGCAGAAAACTATACCGTATTATTCCTTCTCATACATATGCATCTCTTGTCCTATGCCACAGAGATGTCAGTGGAAGAGATACTTGATGACTGTTTGACTTGTGTCCTTTCCCTTCCCATGTGTGTTCATCCATGGGACACTAGAATCTATAAGGAGACACATATAATATTTTGCGTGTTCTGTGCTTCATGTCAGCATATGGCACAGTAAGGATGACAGTTACTTCATGTGGGCATGTTGATTGTGTGTACAGCAACAGTAATCACTTAATGGGATGACAAGAACTACATACTAGCACTTTTACAATGCATGGGGCAGAGAGTTCCTGCAGTGATAGACACAAGCTAATAGTAATAACATACATGACACTGATATTGCATGAGGTGAGCGTGACATTTTTGCTGCATAGTGTGACAGAGATGCTGGCACATTTTATTTTCTAGCATAAATGGTGATTGTATACAAACATATTGATTTTATGTGCATTGCAGTGACACTGCACTGTGTATATGAATAGATTCAAAATTCACAACGTATTTTAAAAAATTTCTAGAATAACAGACAAATAAAATGAAAGGGGAAGTTTTTAAGAATTGTAAAGGAGCACCTGTACCTGTAAGTTTCATGACCACTGAGAAGCATAGGTTTATTCTCGACTAACTAAATACCATACTTTGCCCAAAAATTATACTGAGGCTGATTAGGTTGGAAAAGCGCAAGGCCACAGCTTTATTACATTTTTCAAACATAACAAATAATTGCCAATCGGGGTTTTTCCGTGGACGTGTGTAAACAATAGCCTGACATAGTCTAAGAGGCCTGTCCCTACCATCAGTGCCAGGCAGGCTTCAGACAGACCTAAAATTCAACTTGAGGGCATAACCCAATAAAGCATTGTTAATCGGTGGCAAGGTCCAATTGCCAATACAGCTGTGACAAGTTATCAAAGAGGAACGAACTCTCCTGCGCTCTGAGATCCAGGTGGGTGGCAAATGGATGGAACCAGAACTGGAAGATTCGACCACCAGTGCACATAGGGTTGTGCAGCTCCAAACAAGGCTGGGGAAGCCCGACCAGTACTGCAAAGCGAAACAAAAACGAGAAGCGCACCAACCTTGCGCATTACCTCAGTAACCAAAATTTATTAAATACACAATGAAACTCACAAACTGCTAAATAATTCAGGCATGTAAGTCCTCAGAGGAACTTGAAAGTTAGGAAGCTCTGATGAAGAAGGGATGCCCTTCGAAACGCGTCAGCTGTCTACCCCTATGCTTCCTAACTTTCAAGTTCTTCTGAGGACTTACATGCCTGAATTATTTTGCTGTTTGTATCATTTTGTATTTAATAAATTTTGGTTACTGAGGTAATGCGCAAGGTTGGTGCACTTCTCGTTT